TTCGCTCATTAGGGACCCAGGAATCACCGTGAGCACTGAGAAACAGGGTCAATCCTCAGATCAATGTTACTTACATAATTGGGCCCTTGAATATTTGCCGCTTGACAACAACAACTCAGAGAAGCTTCTGGTTATGGTAATGCGATGCCCCGACTTTTGGTGCTTGTCCAGTCTCTGCTGTTGACTGACCCAGCTGCCGAGAACCTGACCAGCGCCAGATTCGGTGCCTGGTGGCTTCGACGAGCTATCCAGGAGAGTATTCTCCCACCAACTCAGCAGCCTCGACATCGCGTGAGAGTTGGCGCTTTGGTTTAATAATGGTACCGTTCAGGCCCACAAAGGTCTGATTCAGAGAGTAACGAGTCGCGTATTATACCGACAGCCCTTTACCAAAGAATTCTGACATGTAGTTGGTCAGCTATCTTCGGAGCCACATGAGATAGTACCTACGCGCAATGACGGAAGCAGTAATGTCTACATGTACGCAGTACTACGCACATGGTGAGGAGCTTGGACATAATAATTAAATTTGATTTTGAGAGAAAATTGCGTGCGGAAACATCAGGTTGCTCCCACGTACGTCGCCAACCAAAACATCGATTCAAATTCAAATGAGGGTCACAGCTGATGGTGTCAATTTTCGCCGTGTGTGCTGCAGTTCCGCAATTGGTTTGAAGTGGAAATCACCCTCCTACGACTTAGCTCTTGGACTTTTGTTACTCCTTGGTTTCAATATTATGCTTCTACAGGTCTAACAATCGATTGAAGTTGGAATCTGCCCCTTGAATCAATTAGTTAGAGTTTGAGTGGTCAAACATCCAAGAGCCCAACAGCAGGAAGCAAGGAAGCAACTCTGGAATCGCTTCTTATTACGCAGGTTGCGAGAAGGATTGAACCCCAAGCGCGGGACTGTCGCCCTGGAATTGGGAAGCTCAGGCAGGCTGGGACGTTTCCACGCATGGGGCCAGACCTACTGCTTGCGGACCCCGTCACAATTGAGCCAGAGCGCCAACAATGACGTATGCGAAAAATACGCATCCATTTACTGCCTACATTATTGGGTCACTGTCTGCGACTGCGTCATCATCAGTCCGTTTGGGGGCGTCCTGCGCGGGAAATAGGCGAAGGTGAGGGTGTTGGGGGTTTTGAACTTCCAGAAACCGGAGTGGGGCTCCGTGATGTAGGAGGACTCCGGGTGTCATGACTGGCTGTTGGACGAGATGATGAAGATGCCGGCGCCTTTCCTCTTGCTCCCGGAAGCCATCCCCACAATCGGGCAGATGCAGCGGCTGCGGCCTCTGCTAATGCCTTTTCGTCTCGTTTCCTTTCAAATGCAGCCCGATGCCTCTCGTAGGCTTCCCTAAACTGTCTGTCTACGCGTGACGAAAAAATGAGCTCTCCTCGGGGGTTTGTAGACGGTGGGATTGGAGCAATAGTGGTCGAGCCCCTCCCATGCCGCGTGCCGCTGGGGGATGCCAGCGAAGTCGCAGGGGGTTCAGGAGCTGGTTTTATAAACCGGTTGAATGGCCATGGGAGCGTTGGGGGAGGCGTTCGCACGTTGAAATACATGTTGAAGGATCTCAGGGCACGGTTGGCATGGGGGACGTATCTGGTCCATTTCCAAGCCATAAATTGGTAGCTCCAATGGCAGATCTAAGCATACCTATTAGCATAGCTTATCTTCTCTGCATATAACCCGCTCGCGTAGAAGAGGATGAGGGTGGTAAGTGCGATTAGAAACGCCGATTGAGTAATGTAAGGGGAAACCACGATATGTGGGTGGTTGTCCAGAGGAAGCTCCTGAAGCAGCGTATTAATCGGCCAAGTGACAAAATGGGTAGAAAACAAGGTATCGGAGGCGAGCACTAAAATACAAAAAATTAAGTGGACAAGAAGGACTGGGTGCGCCTCAGCGAGCCTATCCAGATAACAATGGTTGCGGAAAAATGACAGACTTTGATATTTTCGCTTTTTTCTCCTCAAGCGAGCCACATTGACCTTTAAACGCTCCTCAAAGAGCAGCAAATCTCTAGAGGGGATTGGGACTTAGGTTGATGAATGCAAGAGGGTAGTCCCTGACATCACCTATATGTGGCATTATCTGCAGCTGGCGCCCAAAACCTAGGTGTCGAGGGGCGGGATTGAGCAGGTCGTGTTGAGGCCATTATCCAGTGATTCGAGGAAGAATATTCCATTCAAATATGCTCAATTCATGTGACATCTAATTCAGTTCGTTGCATAACTAGGCGCCTGACTTCGGTGCTCCTGAGGTCTCTGATGAGCTGGGCCTTCTGGTATTCCACATCCGTTCCTAATCCACGTCATGCCATTACTCACCCACCCACACACCTTCCAGTATTGGTGGCTTGTGGTACCAACCACATCCTTCCTGTTGTAATGTAGGGATTCCTGATAAGGCAATCCGCTTACTTCAGCGGTTATACTGTACCCACAAGCACCTTCCGGTTCGGCTGTAAGTGGGCTGTTGTCACGCATCACACTGACGTTCCGGTTGAATGATCCTTGTCACACCATTTTTTTTTGGCGCCTAAGTGGCTGTGTGAAATCGAATTAAATTCAATGAAAACAAAAGCCGTCTGCAAGGAAGTAGTTTTTTGGGTGTAAAATGTATCAAAACGAAAATTTGCCAGTTGGACATTTCCAGCGCCACTGTGGCTGGTGTCACACCAACCTTGCCACCTCTTCCGGTTGCTTGTCACACGTCACAAGGAGAAGCTGGTTGACTATTTTGTGTCACACTCGGAGCCTCAGCCGGTAATTGGTCGTGCGGGTACAGTACTCGCGAGACCAGAGGTAAGCTAGAAAACTTTCTGATAATATTTGCTCATCGCACGTCCGTGCGTATTTATACATACACGAAATGTATTACAATGATGATATACGTAAAATAAGTAACTGCGCAAGCGCGCGTACGCAAGCACAGACTAAGCGGGAATATTCTAGCGATTCCCCACAATAATCCAGAATGCCCCGGAAGGTTCCGGTGACTCGTGACTTCAACACTTCCGCACCTTGAAGCGGTTTTAAGTCGCGCATCAGGTGTCGACATCACTATACTACTTGCTTCATATTATCGAGTGTACTTATTGCGAAACGCTCGGGATAATTCCATACTGTATTGTCTTTTCACGACGCTTCTGCGAAACGAAATATCACAACTCTCACGATATGCACTTGCCCTGGCCACGTGGCATCAGTCCACATACTGGTGAGGGGAAATTGAAGGTAAACCATATTTGATACGTGTGCTCTACAACAAAAGGCATTGCCGTGCCATTTGACTCCATGAGTTATCAACTGGAGAGCAAGGGAGACGAGAACATTTTGGCTAACCCTTTCTGGAGCAGCAAGGCGATGTGCTATATACCACTTTTGCAACAAGTTGAGGAGGGTAGCTTCTCACTTCCATTCTGCCCCAGTAAACAATACTTTTTTTAATCCGGAATTTATCCGATGTCAGTGTGACGACAGGCGAATCACAAGTTGACCGCGTGCTAGTGACTGAGCGACTTTCGACAGCACACGCCATTGAGGGTCCGTTAATGCACAAGTTCGTAAGATGGATTCAGCGATGCAAAAATGGGGAAGTCAGAACGTCACAGTCCGTCCGGCTGCAGTAGGCAGGTGACCAGCCTCTCTTTAACGGGAAGAAACGGCTGCAGCATGTGTCCTCCAAAGGTCTGATTACACTTCAGAAACTTGAGATGGACTTTCAACTTAGCCTTCGACCTTCGATACCTGAGGAATGTAATAACTGATTATAGTGCAAATGCCCAACTGCAATTAAAGTTGACATCAGCTCACGCGTCCGTTCTTACCTTCGATTCCCAGCGCGAGTGATGTAATGCTGTTGAATATATTCCCTAGTGCCTGCGCCTCATCCACAAGAAGCCCTCCATCACGTTCTGCTTCAGCGAAAAGAACTTCCGTGCATCGCTTCACTTCCGCGAGATACTCCGGTGGAAAACAAACCTGGGTGTGGTGTCAGTTCGATGTCGGCGGGAAGGACAAAGCATCGCACCTTCTCGGGAACGTTGGAGGCTTGTACCGAGGTTAGACTCCCGGCATATTCTCCAAACGTAGACATGCTACAGCCGACAGTTGTGTCGGGTTCTTCATCTGATGACGATGAGGGGCGTGCCTCCTCCTGTGCCTTCGCTACGTCTGTTGCGGTGCTGGTAGAAGGGGACTGGGAATTGGGTGACACGTCGGGTGCTGATACATCGTATTCGGGTTTTTGAGGCTGCAGTATCTCCACCGCAGGCTGCTCTTTCGATCTCGGGACAGGGTGTCCACTCACGGCGCCAGCCCCTGCGGGTCGGTTCGTAAAACATGGGACGTGGGCGAAAGCGTGGGTAAGCTTTAGCCGAAAAATGCAGGGTGTGCTGTCCGTTACAGTAAGTGTAGCCCAGCCGTTGCAGACGAATCGTGGTATCTTCGGCAGCTTCTTAGGGCGTCTTCGTTTTTCATCCGGATGGGGAGTATGCTTGGTTTGTTCCCCTTCAAGTTGTGCGCAATAATAGGTGAAAGAACTTGACTTCCGTGTCGGTACCGTGCTGTCTTGACGGCGCTTATAGCTTCCACCTCATTGAGTCACATTGAATGAAATGAAACAAATCCAAGACTCACTTGAACCGATAACCGGCAGCTTGCTTCACCTCCACCATCAGAGCATTCGCGCGTTCTAGAAATGTATCACCAGATGCACTTGGATGCGAGGGGCTGAGCATGAAGTGACGATCGATGTCAATACGCTCCTGGGACTGGGAACGTATCTCCGTCAGCAATTCTTCCCAAGAAATGGGAGAGGCGTTAATGACTCGGGGCAACTCGTGTCCTAACTTCGAGTCAACTCTTCGTTTGGTGTGCTTCATACAAGTCTTGAGGTGACCGATACCATTCAAGCGAAGTGGAAATGAAGATAACCTAGTCAAATCAGTAACAAGTTCTCTAGACTTGGCGAAAGGAGCAAACGGACGGTCCAAGATAAGCGCATTGACTGCATTTTACTAGAGTTTCCAAATTTGAAGGTGTCGGGTCAAGCTGAGCATCATTCAGTGGATCGTGCCAAGACGGAGCTGTCTCTGTGGGTGACAGTGTCAAGGAGTCCGATTCCCAACTCGAGCTTGAAGCTACTGCATCTGAACGACGCAGGGGGCTGACATTTTTAGCCTGATGAGAGGGTTGGTCTTGTTACCAAGAACTTCAGAGGTCCACTCATTACACACCATGATTCGTCGAGGTCCTCGTTCTCAGCAATGTGAATCAGGGAATCCCGTGACACATTGTCATATAATGGGTCGATACGGAGAATAGAATTGTCAAATCGTTCATGCAGCTTCCCGTGCGCAACACAGGTACGGCATGTTTGGTTACCGTCATTTGTACATACAAGCGGATGTGTTGTGCAAGGGACCCAATGTCCTTGTTAACGAATAGATTGCAGGCCATTCTCTAGTTGAACGTTCTGCTTCTTTTTGTGCTTCTTGACCGGAAGTTCCCAAATTCTCCAGAACTTGATATTTTCATCACCAGAATTGGTAACGATGAAGTCACCATTTGGACTGACAGCCGAATTGAGAATACGAGCATCGTGAGCATCTCGTATCTCCGTGATTTTCTCAAGTGCGGGGTAAGAGTGGAGCATGATGGCATTGGTCGGGAAACCGTGTGTACTGAAGATCTCCTTGGAGTGAGGACTGAAGTGAACAGATGTTACTTGAGCAGGCGTTGTCAATGAATGTAACCGGGAGCCGGTCGATGCAGACCAAACATTGATCTTGCAATCACTTGTTCCTCCGCCGGACGCGAGGATATTCATATTCCATGGGGCCCATGCGATGGCCTGTAGCGATTTGAGTTGAGAATAATTGTAAGAAACATCAAACAATACCTTCACAGCAGCCGTGTGGACAGACTTTGACCATTTTGGCTGCCCACGACTATTGCTTCCTGCGGTTCCTACGCGTGGATCCCAGCAGTTCACGACGTTATCGTTGGCTCCACTCGCAAGGGCTTCGCCATCTTGCCTCCACTTTAGCCCACACACCTCACCGGTATGCCCCAACAGTTCCATGACCTTGTGATTTGCGATCCTTACGTCATGATGCCATATACTCCCGTCTGCACACCCCGAGGATATGATGTGGTGGTTCCAGCTGAGAACCGATACCTGGCCTTGATGGCCAGACATGGTTCGCAGCTTTTGCTTAGTTTCCACGTCCCATATCTCAACCTCGCCAGAATCAAGACCGATACCTGAATACGACCCATCACTCGAGAAGTCGACTGAGGAGACGTATCCATTTTCATTCTCACAGGTGCTGAGAATCTCGGTCTCGTTTGTTTCCGCATTCCAAATGTACACGGACTCGCGCAGCGCGACACCAACGAGATTTGTACATGACCACGCAATGAGATTGAGATAATAATCGTTAATCATTCCTGGGGCGTCCAAGATTCTTTCAGCTGCAGTTGGGATCCGCCGGGTCATATTAGTGTATACCCCATTCGAGGTTCCGAGAGCACCAGGTCTGGCATAGAGAGGTTTCACGAGTTCGCGCTGCATGGCAATCGTAGGGTCTTCTCGGGGGCGGGGGGCGGTTTTTGTGAATTGAAGGATCCGTTCTGTAGCTGGCTTGATATCAAGGGCTTCCCTCAACCGATCATCATGCATTACGTCTTCAGAGGGAGAATCCATTGCGGCATGGGCCAGAGTATGACCAGAAAATGCACCATCCTCTCCGCGCTCATGTACAAACCGATCATCCTTTCGAGAAACTTGAATGCAAATAGGGACACGGTAACATAGCTCAAACTTACAATTCCAACACGCAGGGGCTGCTTGCCATTGGGAGGCACTTCCACCTCAGCATCAAGGGTTTTCAGCCTGGGAAAAGACTCCACGCTCTTTGATATCTCTTTAGCTTGGACCAGTGTAGCTTCAGAAACCTCGGCTTTCAGGCCTCGCCAATCATGCTTCACAACATTAGTCAAGTTGAGAGGCATGTTACCGATACCAAGCATCCCATGCTGGGTTTGAGGAGCAAGAGCAGACCAGTCGGGGTCTCGGGTGAGAAGCTGCACAGGAGAGCGGTAGTCGTCAATCGGTTTGTAGGCTCGCGGCTTGGGCTCAGAGCCGCCTTTACACGACGATTGAACAGAATCGCCGCCTATGACTGATGAAGACGCAGAAAGGGAAGTAGAAGCGGAAGGAAATGGGTGGACTCTTGATCTATGCTGCGATTGTGCGACGCTGAGATTCTTCAAATCAACAGTCAAATCATCAACGACATTGGATGGCGTCGGCTGTTTGGAAGGACTGAGGGGTATTCGAGGTGTGTTACTTCCTACGAAACGCTTTGTATGATCTTTTGTCTTTGGCTGCTGGTTCTCCTTTTGTCGGTTGAACAGTGCAACGTCGGGAGTCAATGATGACATGATGTACGAGCAGAGGAAAGTTCGTCGACACGTATTTGTCCTTGTTTGGACGCAAACTGAAAGTGCGCGTCCCAATTGCATCGCAACCGATTGCGGCTCAATTGAATTTTCAACTGCGGGCTGTGTTTATGTCAGGGAGATCCTTGTGAGGTCGCATTGCATAGTTAATGTGCATACATGTTGCGGAGTAACTATGTATATACGATCTTCGAATTGCCGATGAGATACTGCAATCCGTTGTTTCAACAGCAGCAGGGGATAGGAATGATGTAGCACCAACCCCCATCTGGAAGAGGAAAGGGAGAGTATAATCAGACATTTCTCATATGGCCAATGAGCTAGCACCATTTACTTGGACAAGGGATACACCCTCCACGGAGCCGCAACACCTTGTTCCTATCCTCGATCCCACTCTCCACTGACATTGCCTTTGTGGCGTTTGGTTGAGTTGTGACAGGGGCCTAGGGATATTCGTTGACGCGCTCACTACATATGTGCTTTATGCTCACTCATACCTTGACAGGAAAGTGAATTTTGGAGGTTGTCCCAGGAAGTGTCATGTTTCGCTCAAGGGTGTCAAGATTGCTTTGCAAGGGCCGCTCGTCAAGGTGGAACTGAAGGGCGTGACGTAAATGTTACATAACGTTACCAAGTATTTGATATGCATATGATGGAGCTGGAGGCTGGTCACCTGCCTACCGCTTGGTGCCGTGGACAAGCGCTTACATGTAAGTAACCCTTTTCCATGTTCAGACTAAGGTATGATGAGCGCCAGCAGGTGATCGTTCAAGCAATTATTTTCAAACCCTTTGTTACAACTTACGAGCGGATAGCATGACCGATGCAGTTAAACCTATTGCAGTAAATCACCAATTGTGAGCTGATGCAACAAGCACTAGATGGAGGATTTGAGATGTTGTCTCGGCTCTTGGTATCCGCTGGCATGGATGGATAAATATTCTACACTGGTGTCGTCTTCGCAGGGGCCATGATCGACATGCGCATGCAAATCAATTGTGACACAGCCATAATAAATCATTGTATGTAGTTTCAACAATTCACAACGTTATTCCATTCGCATCTACCACCGGCACAATGGATGTCCACAGGGCGTTGGCGGCCGGGGAAGACGATGTTGTCACTGTCAACCAGAGGGCCCTAATAGATAAGATACTCGCCCGTTATCCGGGAGAATATACAGGTACGGCAAGGGTCTCTTCCGAACGGTTGGCGCATCCCCCAGATTATTCTTCCAGTCTTTCGTGAATTGCTCCAGGTAACCGTTGTTCCCGGCCGATATGGATGGGGTTCGAAGGCTGACTCGTGCTCAAGAATGCGGATGATGCCAATGCCAAACGCGTAGAGATCTACTTTCAAACCCCTAATTTCAAGTTGTCTTCACACGACAAATCAGAAGCACCAGTTGGCACTACAGACTTGGGGAACACGAATCCAGAACTGCCCGACCTCACAACTGCTATTGTGAGTCCTTTATTTTCTTTCTGCGCATGGAGGAGGTCCTGCGACGCGTATCGCAGGTAAACAAGTGGATCGTGAAGAATGATGGGAGACCTTTTGAAACGGACGACTGGAATCGACTCAAGAAGATTGGTGCGGACTTTCTTCTTGGGCGGCATGTCGTTGACTCGCTTGCATCCATCCAGCTGAAGGTAATCCTGACGAGGATAAGATTGGGGCATATGTGCGTGAATTTCCACAAGTCTGGAGCCGATAGCTTGGTTCAACGGCGATCTATAGGGCGTAGGTCCGTGGGCCAATTTCAAAGCATGGAGACTTCGGGAAGGCGACGCTACTCCATAGGGTTCTATTCATTGTTCTCGGTTACTGAGACGCCGCTTGTCGCCTCCGGCGATAAATATATGGTTTTCTACTGGAAGGACGGGAAGGATCAAGTGAGAAAGCCCCTTCTGTCTCCAATGCTTACTCTTATACCAACGGAAGCTTCACGTTCGGACTGGTGTTCATCAAAGCGGGCCTTCTGCAGGGTGGACGTCTATCCAGATGGATCTCAGGGACCCTGGATCATTGCCAGGCAGGCCAGTGGATATGGCTCGCTTTTTCTGCACCAGCCTGACATTCACAAATTCCATATCTGAGATATCCCTCTATTTTGATGAGCACCGTCTCTTCAAACTGTCCAAGGTACTTTCCCCTCCGAAATCACACGCGTTGCCTCCCTATTTGAAGGCACGATCGCCAAGATCCTTTATGCTAGTCAAAGGTGTCCGCTCTACAGGTAAATGGTTTTTTAGTTTGGCGGTCTGAGGGAAGCTCACACCGCACATCCATAGATGTAGCTGTTCATGCTGATGTATTGCGATGGGTATACAATACTGGGTTTGATAAACCCTCTCCTCTCCCATCAGCCGTAGCGTCAGAACAGGGCTTTTTCACATCATTCTTTACTGCATGGAAGCATGCGAAAGCTGTTCGAAGCTCGCCTCAGCCTCCAACCCCTAATATTGAAGAAGATTTAATGGAGACTTGTGTCTCCTCTATCCATGTTCAGATATATTCAGCTGAAATCGCTATTACACTTCCCCGGAAAGAATCGGCGGAAGTGGAACGAGCCACAAAGAAAAAAGCTCCAAGCCGTTGTTTATATCAGATTATCTATGTAGGTTGGGTGTGCATCATTCTTTGAGCACTGATTGATAGTTTTTTAGACAGGGAAAGAAGCACACGATGCCAGTCATCCTGTAGATTCTGATGGTTCAGCATTGGACTCATTTGGCATTTTCAGTGGCCTCCGCGGCGATTTAGAGGGGTATGCATCCATGTAAGTTTCTGCGACGTGCTAATACCGAAATTACAGTAGGAATACTTCTCGGGTTTTCATTGTGAGAAAGTGGTTGCCTTAATGGATCCGTATGTCCTGATTCTCCTTAATATATGCAGGGTCACTCCACGGCTCAGAGCACTGGGATGGGTGGTCATCATGCGTCTCGCTTCATCCCGACAGTGGAAAGAGAAGCTATTGACTTTATGTACGTCGTTTTACCGAGCCGTTTTAAATGGAGGTGTTAAACAGACTTTAGCGATCCCATGGTGTCGATCTGGAATAGGGAACTCCTATACGTGGGCGGGTTTTTGTGTCGCGCTATTTATGAACTGGAGCTTGCGGCCATCGGCGAGCACTGGAACATTCTTCAACTTCAAAATGAGGCGGCAGCGGCGTCCGAGAGCCGTGACTTCGTGGACAAAAAGTTCCAGCACATCCTGCGTTTCTTCAATTTCCACGAGTCGACCCCTGCACCACAGGTATCCAAGGAACTTCAAAGAGCCTTTTTGTCTAGCTCCTCGGATCTTTCACTTCCTGTCCTGTCCTCTGCTGGGATTAAACCGTCGGGAGAGGTCCGCCGGCCTGACAAAGCTTTCGAAGGTTTCATCAAGGGTGTGTCAACGATAACAAGAGGTGCACTAGGAAGTGCCCCAAATTTATTGGACACACTGCCGGCGCCTATTAGGAAGATAGGGTTCGATGATATAATTCACGAGTTGGAGTCCCGTCCGTTGTCGGAACAGGAAACAATCAGCTGTCTGAACTGGCGGCTCGACTGCCCACACTCCTTCTTTCCCTCAAATCAAGAAACGATGCTTACGCGCCGATTACTTGAATCTGCGACGCTCTTCATCGCTGCAGAAAAAGACGCTCCCGAGCGGCTAATTCAACTTTCTGTGATCCAAACATACCTAAACCTCAAAAGCGGAATTCCACTCAACACACCCCTCCCTGACCATTGCTTGCCAGCTACCATTTCAAAAGCCATAAAATCTGGACGAATTAGGGAAGTTTTTCCTTGGACAGAATTGACTATTAAGATGTGGATGGCACATTTGGTTCATATATCTACCATGGTTGACAATGCACCTCTCCAATCGCGGATCACCCAATGCCCTACATTTGCGGAATTAGCACTAAATGTTCTTTCAAAACAGTGGTCATCAGTCTCTGGGCCCGATCAGACCGATATTGTGAACCTGCTCAAGAACACGACCTGTATCCCCACCAAGTTAGGAATGAAGAAGCCAGATGAGGCCTATCTCCCTAATGTCGACATGTTCCCCGATCTCCCTATCATTGATGTTCAGGGGTCCATAAAGGGTGACAAGCTGCGAATGGTGCGTTTCCATGCGTAGAACTTTTTATGTCATTAATGTGCACTCTTCAGCTGGAAGCACTAGGTATTCGGAAACGTGTGGAACTTCAATTGATCTTCACAAGGTGCCTTCTAAATGCCTCCATTATTGCATCAACCTTTTCATGTTGCGCTGATAAGGGAGATGGCGTCTGGCAATTGGTCCATTCCGAAGCTTATCAGCTACCTCGTTAGCGTCAAGGAATATCTTACTGTGGAAGAGCTCAATAAGCTGGCACAAACGAGGGTCTTCTTGGCAGTTCCATCTGAACGATCTCTCGATGCATCTCGCCGTTGTCTAGCGCGAGAGCTGTATGTGCCTTCCGATACACTAAGACTACTAGGGCTTCCGATATTAGATTGGCAAGGGGAGAAATGGCATTCCAGCTCTCGGGAAGGTAAATTGTCGTTAGGTGCCGTCATACCACGCTGATCGTGTCTGCCTTCTCAGCCAAGTTCATGTTCAGCCTTGGGCTTCAGGAGGTCCGTAATTCGCTTACTGCTTACCTGGTGCATATTTTGATCATGGGTTTAGAAACCCAGTGCTGAAATCTTGTTACCGCTGGCAGTGGATGGGGGACCTCATCGGGATGCAGCTCTGACATACTTCATCCAAAATTTTTATGTCGCGTATGCAAGTACATATGACCCAGAAATATTCGCTTCGGTAGCCTTCGTCCCCTCCATTGCCCCTGACGGATCTCAAGGCTTTTCCACTCCAACTCAAGTGAGGGATCTTGGCTTACAGTGGTCACCTCGCTCACTTCGTTATCAAGGTTTTTTCCGAGAGCAGTTGCTCTGTTTTAGGCTTCCCTGTAATACGACCGGAATGGAAGCATTATTCGAAGACGCATTTCAAGCTGCGGGATAGCCCATCAAGCGAGCAAGTTTTGGTTGCCTTGCGGTCTGCGCCACCCCATAGTCAGGCCGAAGGTCGCTTAATATTTGAGTATTTGTCCACTGTTGTTAGCAGTGAGTATACGTGGCTCGTCGAGAATCTGGGCTTCTCACTTCTGTCCCAGATTTTTCTCCATATCAGCGACATCAGTTGGGCGACTACCCAGTTGTCCCGTATTTGGATGGGGATCAAGCATTAAGACATCTTCGGCCTTCCGAATGCTTTGTCGGACAGCCAGATCGCAAGGTCTTATCCAGAATATTTCAGTTTGTGGACTTCGGAGATATTGCCAACAAATTTCTCCAGTTATGTGGGACTCAAAAGTTCCCGACTGCAGCTCAAATAGCTGCAAAACTTCTAGATGATCCCGTTCTCTTCCACTCGTATTGTGGAGGGGTGGAGCAGTAAGTCGTTTCATTGGGTTCTACTACCTGATACTTAGGGGTAACCAGGTATATGGACGAGTTGCGGCGCCTTGGCCTCGAAATTAACAACCTGGATCGATTAATAAGACGGAGATTGGCGTCCGAAAAGTGTCTCATGGGATCGAGGCCGTCTAGATCTTCCAGTCCCAAGCTGGATGAAAGCGATGACGAGACTGAAGGAGGCCTGGAGTATAGCTTGGTACAATCAAGTGAGGTGACTAGCCCCTATTTTCGTGACTGCCGGCAGATTCAATTCCCATTTCGATAGCTCGTCATAGTTGATGACAACGCAGCGTATCGACTGTTTCGTGAATTCCCTGTATGGGCAGCCCCCCAGGATGATATAATAGAAGCCGTAATATACTGTCAATATCTCCTACTGTGCCTACTCATCTTGCTTTCTGCAGATGTACAAGGAGCTAGGGGTGTCTTTGTTGTCAGCATCCGTGAAAGAGGAAATGAATGCTGTCGGGGGAGGGGTTAAGAGCACACGCGCTCAGGAAATCCGCAACTTAGTGCTTGAACGATTACCACTCTTCCTTCATGATCAAAAAGGGCCCTCACTAGTTATCAAATTTGATTGGTTGAAACAAAGCCTCAATTTCCAGGTGTATACAAATTTGTTGTTTTTCTAGGCACCAAAACTCAATCCTCTGACCAGGTCGAGCCAGTACGCTCGTTAAAGATTAAAGGCACGCTTTCACTGTCGGGATCGGCATACCAAAAAGTCCGCACGGCAAGCGCTGGAGCAAAAAGGCCGAAAAATGGACCGGTCATCCTCTACCTCGCGGATAACGTGGAACTAGACTATTATGAGTAAGATACCGCAGAATCACCTGACCGGCCCCACTTAGCCCGTGTTTTAGGCTCGCGCATGCTCTATGTCGAACATTGCTTCGCCAGCACCGAATTAATGACAGCATGTTGTTCATGACTGTGTTGTCCACGGAGCTAAGGGCCTTGAAACGGAGAGGGTATAATGGTAATCAATTCATTACTTATCTCGAATTGGTACTGAGTGCTGTCAAAACGTGATAGTGGATCGTATCTTGAAGCAGCAGCGTCCGATATTAGAAAAGGGGTTACAGGAGGGCTCCAATTCCATTGTTTCTAGAGGCCCCGTTCGGCCTGGGGCATCCCCAGATCAGATCGCACCGGAACGCGCAGCCGGTAACACCACGCCTACTGTGGAACACCCCAACAAATCAGTATTCTCTCACCTAAAAAACAAGATGAAGGAGTTACAGATTGGTTCATCCTCTGGATCAAAACCTTGGCCAGCCCACGCGCAAGCTGCAAATCAGACCCAGACTCCCCAGAAGTTTGTAACGCCAACACAAGACATCGGTAGGAGTACTCTGAATGCAATCATTGCCGGGACCCTAATACTTCGTGCAGAGCGAAATGTCTCACTGGCAATATCGGCTTGCAGGCAAGAGCATAGTAGCATTATACAAAGTAGAGAGCAGATGTCACAAATTAAAGAAGTTGATGCGGGCGGGGCATACTGCGACATCTCCCATGCCACCAATCTCGAAGTTGTCGGTGAGTGATTGTAACAGGCTAGCGAGTAAGCTTAATGCGCGAGCAGATACCTGGAATGGATTCAAAATTTATGTCGAGAGAGGTAGGCTAACTGGGCCCGATGGACACATACAAATCATCTCATTCGAACTCCTAAGATATCCCAGAGTCGCACCAACTGGTAGAGTCAAAAAGCGAGACTATCCGGAGATTTGGGGAGGTCATAGGTCCCCTCTTGCAAGACGTGTATAAGATACCTCTCCGCAGCATCTCACTCTTCTACGATTCAAGTGGGCCCACAATCGCATTCAATAGAGGGGGATCTATTTTCCTCAACGTCAGATACTTTGAGGCATGGCGTTCGTACATTTGAGCCCAACGCTTCAACCCAAAATGATCCTGATTTCCATCAACTATTAGATGATGCAATGGTAATAGAAGGAATTAAGAGGGAACCACGTATTGCTTGGTACTTCATCTTAGCCCACGAAATCGCGGTGAGTAGTCCTGGATTCGAGTCGAACGATCGGATGAATCTCACGAAAGGCATAGCACAACCTTGTTCAATTGCATGTGAGGGTGTCATTACCTTCCGTACGTGATTTATCTAACGCCCTATCACAGAACGCGGAGCACGAGTTTTATTTCGCGGCGCTCTGCGAGCATCACCTAGTGGCATTGTGCAGCCACATTTAGATGCCGGGGGTCGCAACTAGCGGTGAACTGGATAAAGGATCAGGAGATCTCATCTACTGCTTACTGCTACGGTTGATTTGAGTGCGCTTCGATTTGCGCTGGCTGGTCACGATATACCTCCAAATAGCAATTCAAAGGTTTCTACGAGGCAAGGATCTGGATGAGAGAAGCGTTAAGCGTCAACATTGACCATCGCGCTTTGCTACGGGTTGGGCCGCAGTGTGAGTGGACTGCGTCCCCTGCGAATCGGGTCGTTGAGGAGCATGTCTTTGCACAAGCATGATGAGTGAGAACTCCAAGCGCGAATTCTGGGCTCGTTCTGTGCGGTGTTTATGTTGCCTGATGAAGAAATCTCCGGTAGCTTCGGGCTCCTTCTGCAGTAGGTTGAAGTAAGCCATATGACGTTAGCAATGAGGGAGCGATAATCCTTGTGCGTTCTACAATTATATGTGGAGTTGGATCCGTTGAGTCACATCGGCGACACTCTTACTACATACTTCCTTTGGATGATGGCTTCCACAACGCAAAATGGTGTTGCACCCATAAAACAAGAGCAAGCCCCACATCAAGTACAAGCCGTGCTTTGTTTGCTAACAGCTTTTCATTTAGATACATAATTCACGATGAACTTGTAGTTACAATCGGTGATGATTCCCCTGAATCGAAAACAAACCAACAGCCTATCGATCAGGCCGATGGGTCTCCCACCAAACGACAGCGCCTTAGTGGTGCACAGAAACGAGCACTGGCAAGAAGCCAGGGCTTCAAGAAAAGTGGTGGTATGAATAAAGGTCGACCCCAACTCCGCATCCACGACGAGGTGGACCTCTGCATTTTTATCGCCAGAGATGAGCGATGCCCATTCAGCACAAGGTATATACCACGTATATATCACGGGCAATATCACTGCTATAACCCTTTTTTGACACACAACCAGTTGCAAGAACTCTCACGATATGGAGAAGTACATGATAGCGAAGCCTCCAGATATTCGCTGGCCAATCCAAATTTCCCTTGTGGGTCCTCCATTGGTTAGGCTCATTGTAATCGATCCTAAACCAGAACCTGAGAAACTCCAAGCAATGGATGCATCCATCGGTTCTGATATAAGTTGTCCCTTGTTCGTTGAGAAGGGACGGTGCCCGTATGGATACAAATGCCGTTTTCTGGGAGGACACGTCGAAAAAGCGATGGATAGGGAGGGTTTACTGCCTTTCGCTGAAGCTGGCTCTCTCGTCACAAGCGCGAGAGCCAGCATTGAAGAAATCAATACCGTGGGCGCATCTCTCTTTAAGTCGTTACGATCGCGACAGGCATGTTCCTCGCTCCCTCACTTGCTAATGGCTTATTTACGATCCCGAAGTTCTCCACGCCCAAAGCGGATGGTTATTTTAAACAGCCAGAAGAAACCGCCACCCCTGCCATCGACGCCTCCGATAAGCAGCTGAACGATGCGTCCGAGGCGGCAAGTGCCCAATCATTCAAGCAGAATCTGCTCACAACTACCGCCGAATCAAGTGATACACCGGATGTACCTTTCAAACCAAGGGAGAAAACAAGACTCAACTGGACGGGGTTAACTTGTAGGCAAAATTCACATCAAGCATCTTGTGGTTTCATTCACGTCGCCGGCAGACCTAGCGCCTTTAACCACTGTTGGGAATTTGGTTTGTATAACTATACAATCTGGGAATGTTTCACCCGTTCATTTCATTTAGCCCTTCAGACGCCTAGCAGTCTCACTGGGAGCGGACATTACATGTTCTGAGATGGTACTATCGGGTTCTTTGCTTCAAGGCTCCCGGGAAGAATGGTCGTTGGTTCGTCGCCATCCCAGCGAGAGGGTGTTCGGTGTTCAGGTTGCGGGAAGCAAAGCGGTGCCCTTGGCAAGATGTGCTGAGGTGCTAGCCGAAGAGCTAGGAAGTGGTGAAAATCCCGGCATCGATTTTATAGATGTCAACTGTGGATGTCCCATCGACTTAGTCTTCCAAACTGGAGCGGGTGCGGCACGTAAATTCATTCATCTGTCCCTGCGAAAAAACGGTTCCAATCTTTGTTGTCCCAGTTCTTGATGCGCCCGGAAAACTGGGGAAAATAATTAGGGCGATGAATCATTCCATTGGGGCTATCCCGCTTACTATCAAAGCTCGCACTGGGGTCAAAGATGGGAAAAATACAACTCACAAACTAATGTCACGCGTCGGCGGGTGGGGGGTCAGTGCTATGACTGTAAGTGTCGTGTATAACAACAGAAAGCATGCTTATCTTGTGATCAGATACATGGCCGGACGCGGCAGCAACGGTATACTAAGATGGCAGACTGGAATTATATCAGAGAGTGCGTGGAAGCGCTCCGCGAACATACAAAGGACAATGATTGTGTGTCCCATGACTGTACCTGCGATCGTGAAATTGATGATGCGTTTAACAGTTTCCCCGATCCCCATTTTTGGCGGCGGAGATGTTTTCTCCTCACAGGCATACTGGGATTGTCTGGAGAAATATGGAATAGATGGGGTGATGATTGGCCGAGGGGCGTTAATCAAGCCCTGGCTGTTGTGCGTTGTTGTTGTCTTGGTGCCACCATCCGAGGAATTTCATCCCAATGTACAGCACCGAGATAAAGGAGCGCCGAGAATGGGACATCAGTGCTAGGGAGCGTCTTGATTTGATCCGGCAGGTAAGATTCTCCTTGCGGGCGAACTTGGCGTGTTGTTGAATATCCCGTGATCCAGTATGTCGATCATGGTCTTAAGTGCGCCCAGATTTATCAACACTCGTACGCCGCTAACGTATGAGTGCAGTCATTGGGGATCGGACACAATGGTTCATTGTCGCATATACTAATTTCCGTAACAGATCTGACTCCTTTAGTACAGGGTGTAAATACAACTCGTCGATTTCTTTGTGAAGCCTTATCCTTCCAGCATCGCTATATTCCTGTGGGCCTACTGGAAGTAATGCCCGGTCGAATCAATGACCGGCCCCCTAGTAGGTGGGATTTCGTCCAGAAGCAGGCACCAATTAATCAATTCCATGCAGGGTTTCGAGGCAGAAACGAACTAGGTATCAGTCAATTTTTGAGGACACTCTGCGAGTAGTGTCGTTGCGCTTATTACTTTTCTTGTAGAGACGTTACTTGCCAGCACCCAGGTCACCGATTGGATCAAAATTTCTGAAATGTTCTTGGGTCCTGTGCCTGAAAACTGGACTTTCATTCCTAAGCACAAAAGTAATGCAGTTGAAGGAAACGGGTGATTCCAATCATCCCAATCGTTCTGATCACTTTATCGTATTTTTACTGCGATGCTTGTTTTCCACCATACTTCCTCCAAAAACCGCGTTGGAACTTCTCCAATTTTTCGATGTACTGTTCCACTCCCGCGCACAAGCATGTCAATCTTAAATGAGCTTCACCCTCCTTCTGGCCGAAACCATCCCCAGAGACTGCACAAATCCCAGTTTCGTCCAGCAAAGCAAGTGCATAAAAGGTGTCAGGAGCTTTTCCAGCTGCTTTGGCCTCCGCGATAGCTTTGTCGGGAAGGTGAAGACGGGGGAAAAGGTAGAGTGCTCCCGGAGATTCAACACATGACACTCCTGGAAGATCGTTCAAACGTTGGGCCATAAGCTTGGTACGGTAAGCAAGAGCCGCGTGAATGGCGTCTGTCTCCTTCTTCCAAAGAGGATAAGAATCATCTCCATCAACCGGAGGACGAACAAGACATTCTACTCCAATCTGACCGCTAACAGGAGGACATAACCCTACGCTGGCCATCTTATAAATCAGCGCGATTACATCTTCGGGTACATTGGTACACTCGAAATAGCCGCCACGACGCCCACACTCCCCAGTGACGCCTTTCGAGATGGAATGGAATGAGATCAGTGCAACGGGAGACTTCATGTCCCTCACTACCTTCTTGAAGGAAGTAAAGGGATGATTCTGGGAGTCGTGGAGATTGGATTGATAGACTTCATCAGCGAGAAGAACAAGATTATGCTTCTCGCAAACTTTGACGATCGCTTCCATAGTACGTTGATCGAGAAGAGCTCCAGTTGGGTTCCCCGGATTGATGATGACAATGGCTCTGACATTGATGCCTTCGGCCTTGGCATTGACAGCAGCTTGATCAACGTCTTGTGGATCGGTGGACCATCCTTTTGACTCGTCGAGGAAGTACGGTACAGGAACACCCGATTGTTGTGCGAGGGTGGCAGAATATAGTGGATATTGCGGAATAGGAATCATTATCCCTGTCTGGTGACTGGCTACCAGTATGTTAAGAACAAGTGACACTCCGGCAGACGCGCCAGCGGTCAGGAAAATGTGGGAGGGATCGGATGGGTATCCGTCGCGTTCTAACACCAAGGGATAGATAAATGATTAAAGGGGCGCAGAGATTATTGCTCACTTTCAATGAATTGTGAAACGCTTCGACGGATATAGGGTATACCCTGACTATGCGAGTACGCTCCGATGGAGCCGATCTCTTCATAAAGCTCCTTTGCGCGACGAAGGACATCGGAAGGGAAGAGGCGCTTCCCTGTCTCAATTAGCTCCGGGTACTCCAGAAGCGAAGCGATCTTGGAATCAAAGGTTGAGTCGAAGGTTCAGATCGAAAGCCACGCAACAGATGTACCTGTCGTCCAAAGGTCAATGGCTTCTGATCAAGACCTGGCTGCTGAGGATTTCCTATGTTGGAAGGAACGATTTTGTCGAATGGGAGACCGTGATCGTTTGGATGGTTCTTTATTCTGACACGGTAGACCTCGGCTTTGATCGCCAACTCTCCTCGAACTGCATACTGGACACCGAGGAGAGCGGGATTTACGGATCCCAAGGTCAACGCGGAGGGTGAGTGCATACTAGATGGAGGTACCACCAAGAAGCGAGCCTGATCACGCAGCGGTATTGACCGGAAGAGCTGGACGGAGCCAGGCCGCCCAAGGTATCTTTGTACCAACATGCAGTTTGTTCACACAGTCAGCTGCAGACTCCTTCCCAGTCGCTCACATGATTTCTCCGAGGTTTAGCCGCAACTTACGTTGCCCTTCGGGGAAGGAGTCTGTGGGGGTCGGCAACAAGGCTGTGACCTTGTGACGCTTACATAAGCGAAACATGGCTCGATCGTGGCCGCACCGTCCCCCCTCTCCCAAGACCTCATCTTTAGGTTGCAAGCTACGTTAAAACTCAGGGAACAATAATACAATATCGATCGGTGGTTATCTACATGCAAAAATGAATACATAAATGAGTTTTTGAGCCATGCGTGATCTAAGCACAATCTCCATCCGATGAGCAGCCTTTGTCAGGTTTCTTTTGTCTTTCTGCAAGCGATTAATTGTCCCCCCCCCAAAGAATTGGAAAGGTAAATAGACTTTGTCTGTGCAGGTGCTGGGAGGGACATTTGGATTGGATCATCAGCAAAAGTCTGTTATGCTCCGGAGCATCAGGAGTGGCTGGAGCATGTGGGAGACAAAACAGCAGATTGGGCACTCCTGGAGCCAATAGTGTTCTCCTGGGAGGGGGTTCAGGAGTGGCTGGGAGTGGTGAGGAGTATACAATGTGCCAGGAGCAGTGGGAGGAAAATTTTGGTCTCTAAAAAGTTGAAAAAAAAAATTTAGGGAAAAAAATCAAAAAGAAATTCAGGAACTATAGTGCCTTTAAAGTGCTTTCAGGACATATAATTATTTGCGAAATTGAGGAAGAAATGATGGAGAAAAATGGAAAATACTTTTGGAGACCCGAGAAGTAATGAGAACTGAATTGATGGGAAAGTCTGAAAATTGAATAGGAAAGTGAGGGGAAGCCTTGTAGCATTGTTATTTTCTGCTGTTGTGATTTTTCCTGATTGTTCTTGGTCTCACTCCCAGCTGCTCCTGGACCCTCCCAGGAGCTTTCAGGAGCTTCCAGGAGTATTGAGGAGCAGCTGGGAATGAGACCAAGAAGAATCGGGAAAAATCACAACAGCAGAAAATAACAATGCTACAAGGCTTCCCCTCACTTTCCTATTCAATTTTCAGACTTTCCCTTCAATTCAGTTCTCATTATTTCTTGGGTCCCCAAAAGTATTTTCCATTAGCTGCTCCTAGACCCTCCCAGGAGCTTCCAGGAGTATCCAGGAGTATCCAGGAGCAGCTGGGAGTGAGACCAAGAAGAATCAGGAAAAATTAGAACAGCAGAAAATAACAATGCTACAAGGCTTCCCCTCACTTTCCCATTCAATTTTCAGACTTTCCCATCAATTCAGTTCTCATTATTTCTCCGGTCTCCGAAAGTATTTTCCATTTTTCTCCATCATTTCTTCCTCAATTTCGCAAATAATTATATATCCTGAAAGCACTTCAAAGGCACTACAGTTCCTGAATTTTTTTGATTTTTCCCCTAATTATTTTTTCAACTTTTTAGAAGTCCCTATTTTTCAAATTTTCCTCATTTCCCTCTATATTCCCCCCTCATTTCCCCCCTCATTTCCCCCCTCATTCTCCCCCATTTCCCCCACCTCCATATTCTGCAAGTCCGAAAGTGATTAAGTTGCCAGATTAATCATATATCAGGCCATAAATTTTGACTGTGTATTGGTGAGTCTCAGTGTCCTTGATGTATAGTATAGTGTTTGATCTAAATGTTAAGTAGTGTCTTGTTGTGTTAGTCTTGTGGTAGGAGGTATTCATGGGGAGTCTTCCCTCTTTTTTTTTCCTTTTCATTTTCAAATGCTCCAGGAGCTCCCAGAAGCTTCTCACCCCTATACATTTTGAAGCATTAAATTGTATTTACTGGATATGTTTGTGCACAAAGCAATGCTCCATGCCCTCCTGGGAGTGCCCTGGAGTACCTGACCAACTCCGGAGGAAATGAACTGTTCCTGGACCGGCCAATCTCCTCCTGATTCTCCCAGTGCTCCCCATACTCCGGAGCACTCAGGAGCATAACAATTTTTTGCTGATGATGGTGATAGCAGCTCAGCAGTGGGAGTGATGGATTCAAGAATTTCGTGCCTTTGAACTGGGGCACATTTTTGCTCACATTTTCCTCTGCTGGTTCCCCTGACTGTTTCCCAGCTAGTCTAGCCCCATGAGACTGCATGCTAACAAGCGGTGACAGCGATTGAAAGGTTGCTTACTATTTTGGGGACGGTAACGTTCCATTCCCCCGTTCGCCTCAGGCCTCAGTAGGTCCGTCTAAACATAAGCTTTAATGAGCTGTATATTCAACGGGGTAGAGGTAAAAGGCTACTGGGCCTTTACAACTACTCCGAGGTATATATATGTAATTTACATATCTCGGCACAAATAAATAAAGAAAGAACAACATCACTATAATGGGAATTATAGCAATGCAACATAATATAAATATCACTATAATCGGAATTATAGTGAAGTAAGGTTAATCCCTTACAGCGATAGTGGCCAGACAGTCATGGAATAGGTCCAAAGGTTGGGCGACTTCGAGTTGATAGTCCTGGAAATGCATTCTCACTTAATACATGATCTGTTTGTCATTTAGCCAAACTAGTCCTCTGAGCTTTGTTGATCTGTCGGGTTTTGGGAGAAGAAACCTTTTTGGAATACTTCCAAGCAGCTCTATCCCTTGGCATTTGGGGAACTAGGAAGGGGATATGGGAGGGTTGAGTCTTGAGCCCAATGTATGCCTAGCCAAAGCAGCAAGAGACCTAGATGTCAAAGTCAAGTTGGGCAAGCATGCATCAGTGAAGCCTGACACGTGATCCATATTTGCACCTATCCAGGCATTCTGGGAAAGGTGAGTTTCAAATGTACCTTCAACCCCCTCCATTTTGCTCGAATTTTGGCATGTTGGTAGATGTGTTATCTGCCTAACTTTTGGTCACTCAGATTTTTGAAATTCTACTCGGTTCAAAAGTTATTCCCGGTGCATGAGGCTGTATTTTGTTGCATCCCCCCATAACTTAGTGATTACAGCATGTGAAGGCCTGAAACTTTCAAGGGGTATTATAGTGGCATTGGAATATTTTTCAGTGCAGTCTTTATATGAGTACAGACATATGTTGTGCAGAGTTAGGGCCCACATCCATCTCAGCTTCAGAGCAGTGGAATGTACCTTTCCACTACTTCAACTCGCTTCAAAATTGGCACAATTGCTCTATGGGTGTGAAAGCAGGTTTTGGTCACTCAGATTTCTGAGAATCTCCCTGATGCATGAGAAAAGCGCGTGCATTTCCAACATACTGTAGTTATGTATAAACCTGTTTCGAAGTGAGTTCCCATACCACATATGCATTTTAATATTATTATCAGGTAATAATTATACAACACTTAATAGAAGTTGTGTGGTTAAATGGAGTGGCTTTGAGGTGAGCACCATGGCCATATTTCGGGAATCACGTGACATTTTTATTTTCTCAGACCTCTTCCCTCATTTGCCGACCCCCAGAGTCTGGTATTCCTTAGCCTTTTTCCCACCCTCTTTATATTGTTTGTTTTTTTTCTCACCCTCTCAGTCACTCACATGTGCGCTTTTCTCCAGTAATGTCACGTTGCTCCTTTTCCTGCCCCCGTTCAGCAGACGCAAGGGACTGGGAAGAGGGATTGGTGTTAAGGCTAGATAGAACTTGTGTTATTTCTTCATTTTCTGCACACCCCAATCTCCTCCAAAGATGGTCTATATGGCCATCCCCACTGGTTCTACATGGGAATAAAGGCACCTCAGCATCTGCTGAGTGCCAGCTGACCAAAGCGCCGCCGTGCTTCGACTTTTTCTGACCCTTTCCTCTCGTTCTGAGGCCAGTGGCGATTCCTACGGCCACCTCTCCACCAATTCTAAGTGGGGAGAAGCGCTTGCCAGCCCAGGCTGGGTGCCAGCACACTGAGCACCCACGCGCTTGACCTTTCCAGGTTAAACTGTCCAGTAGTCTCTACCACTGTTCCTGGGCAACAAGCGTCATCTGTATGCCTAGGGACGACGCAGGTGACACGTCCTACGTCGGTTTCAGGCCAACTTAATGGCAGTCTGGCGCTTGTGGACTGCCAACTCACGGAAGTGCCCTGTGTTTCAATCTTCTCTGGGAGTGTTAAACTCCCGGCTCCTTCCATCTCGAATGTTAGGTCCAAATGACCACCTCTCAACCAAGGTTGACAGCAGTCTGGCACTTGTAGACTGCAAGCCCACAGAAGCGCGTGGCGCTTCAACAAGCCCTGAGCCGTCACAGGCTCCTATCATCCTCCCCGGATCCGGAACTGTTCCAGCCCTCATATGCTCTTCCCCTCCCGATGAACCCCCAATCCCGGAGTTCCGGAGGAAGAGCAAGTCTTCCAAGGAAGGCAGGCTTGCCGCTATGGCAAGCAATGTCCTCCTGCCCAGCAGGAATATTATTGTTTTAGGATTCACCAAAAACAGGAGAATATGTTTTCAACAGCTACCTAAGAGAGTGGCTTTCAGCCACTATGGGATCAAGGTGGTGTGGACAGAATATTATATTCTTTTATTCTTCTTCGTTCAATTGCCACGCCTTGCACGCTTTGGTGCACACTTTGATTGCTTTGGCCTTGTGCACTATGCACTTGGACCTCAATGCTCAAACATAACATCCCGCATTTTGTTCATCTTACGCCACCCTTACTTCACTGATGTGATGCTGAAGTGAGAGCGACATTCTGATCTACTAACGATGTCATGTACGATAGTTTGCAATCTAGGTACATTGTTGAATACATAGTTCACTGACATGGAGCTGAGTTCGCGATCGAGTAATTATCACAGAATAAATATTCAATCATTTATGTTATGGGATAGGAACCATATGTGGATGCAAAGTCTGGGCACAGGCAATGTCGGGGCGGCGCAGCAGCCATTTCTAGTGGTGAAATTTTGGGATTTATGTAATGGAGGTACGTGTGCCTCGGGTTCTAGCATTTTGGTTTCATCCTGTCCGCCGCACACCGGAAACTCTTTTGACCTCGCGTACGGCATATATACTTATCGCCTTTCAAATGCTGATTCTGGTGTATGCTCAGTTTGTTTTTCTTATCATATCTCGGTTGTTTCTAGGGTTGTTTTGGCTGTCCTTTTGTATCGGTACGTTGTATTCTTTTCTTTGTTTGCGTCCTGTTGGACGTTTCGGCCTCCGTGCCTTTGGTTTCAATGCCTTCGGCTTCAATGCCATCTTTGCATTTTCCTTTTATCTCAGTCTTATTTTCTTTTTCGTCTTTTCTGACTTTTTGTTTTTGTTAAGTAATAGTCCGACCTTTCAATTCCGAATGTAAGTATTCGGTCTTACTGTGTTGTGACCTTCGGTTACCTTTGGTGGGTAGGATCCCGTATATTTACGAGTTCAGTGGTAGTCTTTACTCTTTTTCATTTTTCGGTTCTTTCCTATCCGTTTGTAACCTCTCTCTGTTCTTTGCTCGACTTTGCTTGCATCTTGCGTTACCCGCCACCTTCCCCTTCTTCACCAGTGGTTACTCAATCTTGTACTTAAACCCCAGGTCGCTCAATGTTCATAGAGCTAAGGCGCTGTGGGATCGTATTATACGTACGTGACAAACAAGTCTGCGATCGTTGGATTGAGTTAAAAACAACATTTAAGCTTGAATACCCCATTGACTCCAAGGGGCTTGGAGAAGTTGGAAAGCTATCCCTCCTCCGATATTAGTGTCAGAAAATTGCGAAAAGATGTTCAGGACTGTCCTTCAACAGTCCCTTCATCGTCATCCACCACCTCCCCAGCATCCAGCCATGACTCTTCTACCGTCGCCTTCACTCGTCTCACGTATTCCTTCATATTTTCGCGGTACAACTGTGCTGCTTCTGCATTGGCTGGGCTGCAAGTGCTCAATGAGCCATTTATGCCAAAACCAACCAACAACCAACAACCAACTATACCTATTGGGATTGGGGTCATGAAGCAAACTTTGGATGCTAGTTAGTATCGCGGCCACGTCGTAGGTAGGCGACCAGCGATTCTGAAGGATATCGAGACAAAGTTCTCCATTCGCATAAACGTTCGGATGGAACATTTTTGACAGAAATTTAACGGTGGGGGGTTTGTTGGGATAGGATTCGTCGAACGTCAAAAGCAACTTAAAGGTTCCATCCTCGAAAGGAGTGTCCACTGAGCTGAATCATGAGCGAGTCGTACGCTAAGTTAGACCTAGCGTTAGAAAAGGCTACCTGGTCCGAATATCACTGCGTTCCATAGCATGAGGTTGTCATTGCAAGGGGCGCCTGATATTCCCTGAGGTGGATCGGACGAGAGTTTTTTGAAGTCCCGGATCAGTCGTCGACGGGAAGGGGTTGACTGAGTAAATATCGTTAGCAACCAGATATAAGCCTAAAACGGTGGGACGTAAGTTGGTCAACCCTACCATTGTGGCGTAGCTACCTTGTGGTTGAGAGGCAGTGGAGGTTGCGTGGACACCGTCACGTGTGTGTGTTTGTAGATTCAGAATCATTGCCTGCCATAAATCCAGTTCGCTCCTGGCATTGGCCACACCGTAACCACGCAGTGTGCTTACTCACACATGGCGTCCGTGAACAACCGGGAACCCTCTCGACTACTATCTGGGAGCGACGCTGATGTGAGCGAACGTTTACGGATTGTAATTCATTTTTGGGCATCCGCTTTGCTTGCTACTGACAAACGGCAATCAGTGGAGTCATGAGCTTCGGATGAGGCTGCAGTACGCTCGGCTGAAGGTTGATCATGGGTGGGTGAGTGCTATATTGGGTTGACCAAAGGAAGTTGATGCTAGTTCTTCATACAGACCCGTCAAACGCTAAGCGAAGTTGAAAATTTGTATTTTCACCATTATCCACCGGGCTCGCTGCACAGTAGGAGCGTCCTCAGCTTCCGTTATCTTGTGCTTAGGTTATACGCAGATACGAGTTATCAAGACCAACCCACTGGCCTGTCTTCCGGGGGACCTTCCCTTTCACCCATCTCCCTGAACGGTGTTCCTCCTGCTGGACTCGTTCCTGTCAAGAGCAATGCCTTGTACCCTATTACCGATCACAAACTTGCAGAGACAGAGCATCCGGATTGTTTCCAATGGTCTATCAGTGGCGGGGGTCCAGAGGTTTCAATAACTTCGGTACCTGTCGTGCGTTCTGATGATCGCGCCGATGTTACCCCGACTTCATCACCAATGTCCCCAGGGACTGCGCCAGATTCCATGGCAAGTACCGCTAGTCCTGTTTTCAAGCTGTTAATTATTCATCCTCTGATTCGCAAGTCGTCGGGTTAAACTGCAATGAATGGTCGGTGCGTACGATTCAAAAGTCCCAGTATAAATGGGATTTGATCTGAATTCCACGTAATATGCTGTCAAATATTCAATGTGTAGTTCAGGTGAGGTCACCCTCATTAATTCCGGTGTTGCGAGGATAAAAAAGTCTTGTTCTGGCTTCGTCAATGACACCATTTCGGATTGGCCTGAGCTTCCAAAGCATGCTGCACATCTGTTGTGTTGGGTACGTTTCTCTTATCTGTTGGGTGGTTCTTTTATGGCTGTACCTTTTGATTTTAAATTAATTGTACACACATCTTGGTGTATGTTTCATCCTAGAATGCATGTGTTAATAATCTGTGACTATTAACATGCATGATACAATTGTTCAGAGAGTACTCTACATAATTGCATGGTCCCAGTCTTGATCAACGAGATCATCCCCACGAGAGCAACCGTTGACGGGCTCGCTCGATTTGTTGATCGGGCCACTTTTTTGGTCGGAAGCAAACTCATCGTCGCTTCTTACATAAATAATTGCCAAGAACCTCCCAGCGAGTCCCCCTTCTCTTAATTGCTACTGACACAGCACCATGGCGCCCCTCAAAATTACTAAAATCTGCTGTCTCGGTCAGTGGGCGCGTCGTCCGCCTAGTTTATGGTATTGCCCAAGCTTACTTCATTCATGATCCTCGCCGTTCGTGGTTACAGGAGGTATTGCCATCACTTCGTGTTTGCGCTTGAGTCTCGCGTTTATTGTTTTTATATACTATCTTACGTGTAGCTGGATATGTTGGCGGACCCACCTGTTCTGTAATTGCCTTAAAGTGTCCTCATATTCAAGTCACGATCGTGGATTTCAACCAAGCTCGCATCGACGCGTGGAACTCCACCGATTTTTGTCTCCCTATCTATGAGCCTGGTCTTGAGGACGTTGTCCGTCAGGCCCGCGGTCGAAACCTGTTTTTCTCCACGGATGTTGACAAAGCTATTCTCGAGGCCGAGTTGATCTTTGTGAGTGTCAACACCCCAACCAAGAAGTCTGGTGTTGGGGCCGGCTTTGCTGCCGACCTCAAGTGAGTTTGTTTCTGCAGCGTCTGGAAAGTCCTTTTGACAGATGCGCCCTTCAGTTACGTGGAATTAGCAACCCGTCAAATTGCCCGCGTCTCCACTTCCTCTAAGATTGTCGTAGAAAAGTCCACCGTTCCTTGCCGGACGGCAGAGTCCATGCGAACAATCCTCGAAGCGAATTCCAAGCCTGACTGCCGATTCGACATTCTCTCCAACCCCGAGTTTTTGGCTGAAGGAACTGCTATTCAGGATCTATTGAACCCCGACCGGGTGCTTATTGGCTCACTCCAGTCTCCCGAGGGTCTGAGTGCGTGTGAGTCGCTTGCCGGGATCTATGCTCACTGGGTCCCCAAATCCCGAATCTTGACCGTTGGCCTATGGTCTTCTGAGTTATCGAAGCTAGTTCGTTCAGGATTGCGGGATGCAGACATGTTTCCTTGATTGATTGACTATTTATTATAGGCCGCCAATGCGATGCTTGCTCAAAGGATTTCTTCTATCAATGCATTGTCTGCCATTTGCGAGGCTACTGGTGCCAATATTGACGAGGTCGCACATGCAGTTGGCAAAGACAGTCGTGTTGGACCAAAGTTCCTGCGTGCATCCGTTGGGTTCGGTGGAAGCTGCTTCCAAAAAGACATCCTTAACTTGGTTTATCTGAGCGAATCACTTCATCTGACAGAAGTTGCCGTGTACTGGCGTCAGGTCGTTGAGATGAACGAATACCAGAAGCGTCGTTTCTCGAAGCGCGTGGTGGATACCCTCTTTAATACCATCACTGGAAAGGTAATGTGTTCACGCTTTGGTTTAGGTGGCAAGCTGTCCTTCTGATGCGTTAACAGCGCATTGCGGTGCTCGGGTTTGCTTTCAAAGCCGATACTGGAGACACTCGGGAGTCAGCCGCCATCACACTTATACGAGATTTCTTGTCTGAGAATGCACACGTTAACATCTACGATCCAAAGGTGAGTTGTGGAATGATTCATTCGATACATCGGTGTACCACCCACAGATTGTTTTCGCAAGGTCGAGGAGTCTCAAATCTGGATGGACTTGCAGGAAGCATCTCCGTCTCTGAAGCTCGCAGACAGTAAGTGTGTGATTGATACGTGAATATGATTCGAACCTTAGGTTACGTGAATCCCATCAGTTCAGAAGCACATTAACATCACGCATTCTGTCACTGAAGCGACGCAGAATGTAGAGGCCGTAGTGATTGCGACTGAATGGCCCGAATTCAAACAGATTGACTGGGCTGGGGTGTTCAGTCAGATGAAGAAACCAGCCTTTGTATTTGACGGCAGACTTGTCGTGAACGGGGAAGAGCTGCGCAAGATCGGTTTCAAGGTATGGTTGATATAGTGTGGTGATGGGTGGTGCAACTGATCTGGATCGTACGTGCACAGGTCAGCATTATCGGGCGTGGTGAACGCCTTTAATCGAACCAAAATTCCGTTTCGTGCATGGATATCCTCACCCGTGATGTATTCTCCCTGTATAGATGAGGACGGAGGACAAAGTTCCGTCGTTAACATGATATGAATAAATTTTAGCAAATGAAGGGTTCTGAATGAATGAATTCTAACGCCGCAAACGGCCCAAAATACAGCTCATGGTTGAAGCCAGACTCCTACCCAGTCGTCTTGCAAAATTTCCGAAGTTTATCTGCAATTTCGCTGTGATTGCGCAAATTACAGCAACCGTCAAAAAAATTTGCGCGTCAAATCTTGATGGATATATAACTGGGGAACGCCGCCTAAAGCGGCAGATCCCGCTACTCTTACCTCGCATGCATGTTCACTCTCAACGTTACTGATGAAGCCCGAGATTCACTCTCGCTCTGTAAATCCACCGCATACTCTGATAAGTTCAGGACCACGTAATTTACACTGCAGCCATGCAGCAAGCGGAATAGAACTGTATGGGGCAGAGAATGGACCCTGGGTTTGGGGGTCATACAGGACCCTGTGCATAGGACAATTGAGTTTGGGAGAAAAAAATGTAGGACCCGCTACGGAGTAGTGGGAATTAGGCAAAACATGTGATTTGCGATTTAGGAAAAAAATCACCGTGTCCCAATGGCACCACCAAAAAAGGATATTATTCACCGCTCTATTATCATAGAGGCTGCACATGCATATAGTGTGCAAACACCTCAAACCCACAGCCAAGGATCTAATCATCACTATGCCTAACTTGATGAGCACACACAATATTTCAGCAGTAACCCAGCTGTCTGCTGTTGGAATTTGTACATGTGGTCTTTTAGGGAAACCTAAAAGTTGGACATACTGGGAATTGAACTCCAGTCTGCTGGATTGCAAACTCAGTGTGCACAGTGTCATGGCTGTGCATTCCGGCCCGTTCCCACCCATCCTGATGCCGCCTGAGCCTGTCCTGCTGTGTGAGTGTGAGCACGAGCTCCGACCCTCATTGTCAGGGCACGCTGCCGCCGCCGCCGCCGCCGCCACCTCCTTTCCCTTTTGTCTCATTCCCTCATTCTCTCTTCTTTCCTTCTTCTCTTTTTCTATCTTTATACAGATGACCTCTCTTTCTTTCCTACCCTTGTAGCACGGATGCATCCAATGCTGAGCACCCCGTAGGGGCACCACAACGCCGGATGCGCTGTGCACTTGCACTTGTACTTCCCCTCCAACACTCGGGATCGACTGCGGAACCACCCGCAGTAACCCGGCTTCGTCCGAGGGTGATGTGGCAACCCCATGTGACCCATTCACACATGTATATAAACTAAGCTGAAGCAGGACCGAAGAAGTAACCTTCTTCTCATTTCCTGCTTCAGGCAAGTACCCTAGTTTAGTCTGGCTTCCCACCCTAATAACAATACATTTCTCGCTTTAGCCTAAGAAGCCACACAGGGACATAAGCCCGAGTAAGGGCTATCCACTATACGGTCTCACCGCCCCGCCGCTGCCCAGGCCGCTAGCGCCGAGCGTCACGCCGCTACCCCTGCCTTCCTCGAGCCGTCCCTGACACTCATCCCTATTCTCCTTGAGGACCCCCTGCTCACCCCCTGCTTGCCCCTAGGCTCCCCTGCACCTGGCTGACTCCCCTCCAGCCACACCAGCCTTCCCACCCCGAGTCTGCCTCTGGCACTGTGCCCAGCGTGACTCCTTCTACCTGCCCACTTGGCCCTCACTGGGCCACTATCATCCCCATGCCTGACTCCGGCCCAACTCCGAGTCCGGCACTGCTACCATTGCTATTGTGGCCCTACACTCCTTTGCATATTTATCTGTTATTGTTTGTTTTGACCCTTGGTCATTGCCAGCCGCTGTGCAGCCAACCCTGCTCTTTGTTCCCTTTTGCTTCCGGACCCTTTGGCCTTCAGCCCAGTGTCATATCCATCTACGGCCATTGTCCTCCACTACCTCTGATCCTTCCAGACTACCTCTGCTCCTTTGTCACTAACCTCGGAGCCCCCGTATTCCACAATCACCTCTGACTCCCTCGATGGTCACCACCCCCTTAATTCAATATATTACCTACACCTCCCTAAGTATGGAACCCTGAAGGCTTCCGGACAGCTCCGATGTCTGCTAGCACACTCCCACCCCTGCTGGGCAATTCACTTGCTTGCCCTGCAAGTGTACCTTTGGGCCTATCCCTCCTTTCCATTTCTGGGTTATAATAGCCCACCATTCCACTAACCCCGTTGTTGTGGGGACAAGTCCATGCAGGTCAAACCAACCCTTATCACACATTTCACCCCCTACTGCATCAGGGACTAGGATTGGTGAGTCGTGGTAATAGTAGGAGTTGTAGAGACTGTGGATGTGGTTCTGACGAGTCTAAGATCGTCGGATTTGGTGGAGTGGTTGAGGAGATATGACTTTTTCTTTATTTCCTTACTATTTTCATTCATTCACGCATGTGACTTTCCTTTTATATTTGTATTGGACTCTTCCATGACAACTGTACAGATGGTTAGTTAGAGGTAGAGAGGGTTATCAGCACCGTACTCCCAAGGACCATCCTACCTGAGAGATAGAGAGAGACCTACCCCCCAGACCTGGGTCACAAGTCTAGATCGATAGACCCGTTACACCATATTTCAGACTCACTGGGGTTGCCTTGTTGGGGTCAGGACTTAGGGGTCGTGGTCACATTGATATTAGAGCTAAGGTACAATAAAGTATCATACAGGATATATATAGGAGGAAGAAATGAATGGAAGCGGACCCGGGCTGGAGGCCGAAGGGTCTGGAAGCAAACAAGAATAAGGAGCGGGGTTGGCCGCATAGCAGCCGGCAATGACCGAGGGTCAAAACAAACAATAACAGATAAATAAAGGAAAGTGCATAGGGCCGCGATAGCAGCGATGGTATCGTAGCGGCACTGGACTCGGAGTTGGGCTGGAGTCGGGTGCGGGGATGATAGTGGCCCTGTAGGGGCCAAGTGGGCAGGGTAGGGGAGTCGCGCTGGGCACGGTGCTGGAGGCAGACTCAGGGTGGGGAGGTTGGTGCAGCAGTGGGGGAGTCGGCCAAGTGTAGGGGAGCCTAGGGGCAAGCGGGGGAGTGAGCAGGGAGTCCTCATGGAGGGTAGGGCTGAGGTCGGGGCTTGCGCTCATGCTTGCATAGCGGTAATGGGCTTGGGTGGCATCGGGATGGGTGGGGAACCGGCCGGAATGCATGGCCATGACACCTAGTGATAAAATCAACTAGAGTTATCCCCCCTTCTGTCAGGGCACATCTTCAGGTCGCTAGCATAAGTGGCGCAGCGCCACATGGCCTGTATCCCCATCAGGTTCTTCTTCTTTTCCGCTTCTGATCTTCTATCATCTTTGATCCACTTCTACCAGTTATTAGTTAGTTGGCTAGTTACTGTCTTGTCAGGGCGCACCTGCCTGACCCAGCCCCACCCGGCCCCACTTCACCTGGTACCCCACCACCCAGTCCTCTCCTACCTCCTCCCCCCTTCCTCTTTCTTTCTCTCCCCATTTCACTTCCTCTTCATTTATTTCACTTTCTCTTTATTTTCTCTTTATTCTACATGGATGACCTTTCTCTGTATCAATGTACCATTGACCCACCTGCAGTGTGCTTATGACATGCCTGGCCTGGGCACTTCAGGCGACTCCCCACTATGTCCAACTCACATGTTCACAGCAGACAGGAGCTCAACCACCCAGTGGGGGTGGGAGCAGGAAGAGTGAGGTCTGGTGTCTGAGCACTCACCAGGCCATTGAGGTTTTCTCACAGATTGTAGGAATATCGATGTAGACATCGATTCAGATGTTGCAGGGAAGGTTCACAGTGGTGGCACAAGGGTGGCAGTTACAATTGTGGTACAAGGTTTTGGGGATTATGTATTTGATAAGGAAAGACATCTCTGTCAGGGCACACACCCTGACTAGCCCAGACCCGGACCCACATCCGGACCCACATCCACCTGCCATGCTTCCTGCATGCGCACACACTCCACGTGCCGCATGCTCTGGGCCCGGTTCATGTGACTTCCGGGTATCCCCGGAAGTTTTCCTGATATGGTGGCCACTGTGGGAAGATGAGAAGTTAGCTTCCTTCTCATCTTCTTACCCACAGTAGGTTGTGCCCTGGATAGGGCTGGTTACACCAGAGGCTGTGGACCATAGGGGAGGGTCATGGGGACCTGGGAGTCGTCCCCTGACAATCTCAGCATTTGCCATACATATCATCTGACTTCTGTCAAGAACCCCGAACGAAGGGGAAAGTGCGTGAGTCTGAATGCAGGTGGGGCTCAATTAGAGGGGATCTGAGAGCTCCGGTAGTGGACCAAAGCTTCTCCAGGAAGCCCAGGTCTGCTGGGTGGTACAAGAGGCTCTAAGAAGGATGTGGCCTCAGCGACTTGGAGGGAGCGCTGTGCCTCCGTTACGTCTCAGTTAGTCCTTATATTTCATGTGTCTGAGGTATCTTGTAGGAAGAGGTTGGGATTCACTCATAGGGGGACTTGGGGTAACTTTTAGTTGAGATTAGAACTGGCATACAACAGGTTCTAATCTACAAGTATTTATATATGGAGGAAGGGGAAGGACTTTAGTCAAAGTCTGAGTGATAATGGAAAACACCGAAAGGTGCCAAATGATACCGAAAGGTACCGAAAGGTCCCGAACGATATCCTTAACAGGGGACTGAGGTGTTGGGTCGAGAAGGGCAGAGTAAAAGGCTGGGGGATGAATGGGAACGAGAAATGGGTAAGAGGAAGTTAGCCAACTGAATGGAAAGAAGACAACAGTCATACTATAAATGGAAGGTGACTAATTTGTGATGATGTGAGTGGGATCACTGGAGGATGCAGGTAGCTCCAAAGGTGGAGTTATGTATCCGAAGGATGTTGGGTGACTCCAATAAATGAAATGGAAGGGGGAATGGTTTAGAGGTATGTCATGGGATGTCAGAGATCTGTTGGGAGTGTTAGAACGGGCAGATTCAGATGACTC